TTCTGTAGGTCCTGTGGGAGCCCATTCTTGGGTTCCTTGTGGCATTACCCAGCAGGTTTGCATAGAGGATGATTAGGACCATGGGCCTGATCAGTTGTCTGAGATGGTCTGCACTTGGCTGTACTGGGGGATGGTCTGTATGTCAAGTTGCTCTGATTGGTCAATAAATAAAACCTGATTGGTCGTGGCTAGGCAGGAAGTATAGGCGGGACTAACAGAGAGGAGAAATAAAAGAACAGGAAGGCAGAAGGAGACGCTACCAGCCACCGCCAGGACAAGCAGCATGTGAAGATGCTGGTAAGCCAGGAGCCACGTAGCAAGATATAGATTTGTAGAAATGCATTACTTTAAGATATAAGAATAGTTAACAAGAAGCCTGCCACGGCCATACAGTTTGTAAGCAATATAAGTCTCTGTGTTTACTTGGTTCGGTCTGAGCGGCTGTGGGACTGGCGGGTGACAGAGATTTGTCCTGACTGTGGGCAAGGCAGGAAAACTCTAGCTACAGGGGAGAGAAAAGGCCACACATATCTCAGACAAATAAGCGGATACACCTCACGGTCTTTGAAAATCAAGAACAATCCAAACCTAAAAGCATTAGACATAAAGAAATAATAAAGATCAGGGAAGACAGCCTGACAGGCTGAAAGGCTGTATTGGCATATTCTCATTGCTTTGCCTCGCTATGTATCACATTGAAGCTAATGACAGAAGATGGTCAATGGTGTGAGCACAGCTTGAGCCAATTCTCACTGGATGATGGTGGCTGAGACATCACAGATGCATACTGGGTAAGTCCAAGACCAAAGCAGTTATCTTCTATCAGCTTTTCCATCTCATAACAATAACCAAGATTGCAAAACTTTCAATATCACATAGCCTTCCAGGGATCAAAACACATTCTCCTAATGTGTTGTGATGTCAGAACACCCTCCAGGCTTTATTACATTCTAGACTACTGTTGGGCTGGTTCCAATCCACAGAGGAAGAACAGGTTTTAAAAAGATCCAAGTCCAACTGGTTTTCTCTGTTGCATTTGGTCAAATTTAGATAATTTTTGGCTTAATAAATTCTCCTTTTCTAGCTGACCATTTTGTCTAAAGAAAATAAGACAATATAACTGTAATTTCTATGGCAGGTTCATTGTAAAAATTTAACGCGAGGATGCTCTCTTTCATCACAATTGGATTACTTCAAATCAAGGGACATGACTACCATGCAAGCATCTAAGTGTGTGTGTGGGTGTGTGTTTCCATGTGAGTACACATGTGTTGTGTGTACTTGTGGACATGGGTGCACACATGCATGATGAGATCAGAAGTCAACTTCAGATGTTGTTCCTCAAGTATCGTCCACCTTGCATTTGAGACAGTCTATGAGGTAGTTTGAGTGAGGAAAAAACCCAGTAGGCTCTGCTATTTGAACATTTGGTTCCCAGTTGGTGGTGCTACTCAGAGAAGTTTTGGTAGTACAGCCTTGCTGAAGGAAGTATGGCATTGGGAGTAAGTTTTCGGGTTTTATATACATATGCAGTTATTTAGACTTTCCTTACCGCCTGTTCATTCTCTCTATTTTGTGCTTGTGGTTGAGAAGATGATCTCTCAGCTTCTTGCTCCAGGTGCCATACCTGCCTGCTACCACACCTTCCCGCTATAATGGAATCTTTTCCCTCTAGAATGAAAATCTCATATCAGTGTTTCCTTCTGTAAGTTGTCTTCATCACGGTATTTTGCCACAGCCTCAAAAAAGCCACTAATATATTTTCTCACTGGCATAGAGCTCACCAAGTAGACTGGCCAGAGAGTCTCAGGGAACTTCCTGTCTCCATCTCCCCAGGGCTGGGACTATTAGGAGCATGATGCTACACCCATCTTTGTATTTTGTTTTCTTCGTTTAACATTAGTTCTGGGAATTGAAGTCATACCTGACTGGCAAACACTTCACCAATAAGAGAATGAAAAAGATTCTGGTCTCTTATTTGAAGGCCATAGACTCCTATTAGTATTTATCCTGCATCTTTCTAGGACCAGACAGCATCATGTCTTCACACACACACACACACACACACACACACACACACACACACACACCACAACAACTACATAACACACACACAAACTATCCTTGAAAAGGAATTTTTCTCTTAATATTTTTACTGAGCATACTGTGATAGTTAATATTGATTATCAAGTTAACAGGATCTAGAATAACCCAGAAGATAAACCTCTGGTCACACCTGTGAGGGATGATCTTGATTCAGTTAACTGAAGTGGGAAGACTCACCCTATCTTGGTAGTACCATTCCTTAGGCTTATGTTCTGGACTACATCAAAAGGACAAAGCTCACTGAACACTATCGCTCTCTATCCCTCTGTCTTGACTATAGATGCAATGTGACCAACCTCCTCAAGCCCCTGCCACCATGACTTTCCTACCATGAAACAAACCCTCCCTTTGTTAAGTCACTCTTGTCTGGGTGTTTTGTCACAGTGAGCAAGCAATACACATACAAAACCATGGATAGCTCTCTTTATTAATTTTATAAGCTGTTAACCACGAACCATAACTACAAGTTGTACTTATTCCTAAAACACTGCAGCAAAAGACCTTTATACCTTGGCAGAGGGCCTCTTTCCAGACTGTGAAGCCTGAGTAGAGACTGTGGTGAGTGGGACAGGATTTGATGAGGTAGACAAGGATTCATTTCAACCAAAGATTGAGACACTTACCAGGAGCCATTGTGGTGGTTTGAATGATAAATACTACCTGCTCCCTGAAGGCTTAGATTTGAATGCTTGGTCCTAAGTTGGTGGTGCTCTTTGGGAAGGCTTAGGGGATGTGGCCTTGTTGGAAGAAGTTTGCAAGTAGAGAAGGCCTTTGAGAGTGTCAAGCCATTTTGTGTTCTCTCTTTGCTCCATCTTTGTGGTTTAAGATGTGAGCTCCCAGCTTACTGCTTCTGCTGCCATGCCTGCCTGCTGCCATACTTCTCCCCCTTGATGGTGATTAAATCTTATCCCTCTGGAACTGTAAGCTCAAAGGAAACCTTCTCTCGGTAAACTGGTTTGGTCATGGTATTTTTATTACAGCCATAGAAACTAAAACAATACTGTCATGTAGGGATCAGAGACCTGTTTTAGATATAAGTGTGACTTGTGGTTATGGCCCTTGGGAGGTAGCTGCCTTACTTTGACTATGGCACAAACAAAGCTACACTGAACTATTAGTTGTTAGTTAGCCTACTATGATGATAACTGATACCTATGATAAACAAATTACAAGCAGAAAAGGCTCACAGTTTTGGAATTTAATGCAGGTCCATAGTTAATAAAGTGCATGGCTCTTGAATGTGTACCAAGGAAGAACACCATGGTGGCAGCATGCCAGTAAAACCATTCACCTGGTGGCAAGATGCCTAAGATTAAGGAGGTAGAAGTGGCTGCTTCTCAATATCCTTTTACAGAACATCTGTGGTGGTATGAGACCACCCACTATGCCCCATCTTCTAGACCAGTGGCTCTCCACCTTCCTAATGCTGCAGCCCCTTAATACAGTTCCTCATGTTGTGGTGACTCCAATCATAAAATTATTTTTGTTGCTACTTCATAACTGTAATTTTGCTACTGTTATAGTCATAATATAAATATTGGATATGCAGGATAGCTGATATGTGACCCTGTAAAAGGGTTGCTTGAGCTCCTAAAGGGATTTTGATCCACAGGTTGAGAACTGCTGTTCAAGGGGATCTACCACCTCCCAATAAATACACTGGAAGGTGGGGAACCTAGCCTTCAACAAGTAGACATTTGAGGACACATCTAAATCATAAGAGTTAGGGACCTGTTTAGTGCCAAAAGATTGTTTTCTTTTGATAAACAAGAAAATGTAACAGAACATACTGCCTTATAGGTTTTAGTGGTGTCCAAAGAGGTTCTGAGGTGAACTGATTCATGTGGCTATCTGCATGTGAGAAGATATGGTAGGGCTATAGAGTATCCCGGCTTCAATGAGGAAAAAAAAGCAAAGAGAAACGAGATTCTCTTTTATCTCCTACATCCAACAATGGTGGAGTCAAAGTCTTCAGTGACCAATAGTAGGAATACCTAAAGAGGGAGACTAGGGCAGAGGGCAATAATTTTTAATGAGAAGTATAGAGGGGGTTACTTTTTCTGAATGTTCCAGAGACTGCTGAACAGTAAGATACTCATAGGACATGAGATGACCTTGTAATTACCTTGGGCTTGGCCTAGAACACTGGAATGTGCCAGCCTAGAGAACTCTCTCAAAGATTAATAAGCATCAACTCTCTCTCTCTCTCTCTCTCTCTCTCTCTCTCTCTCTCTCTCTCTCTCTCTCTTTGATTTGTCAAGACAGGATTTCTCTGTGTAGTGCTGGCTATCCTGGAACTCACTCTGAGGCCAGGCTGGCCTCAAAATTACAGAGATCTGCCTGCCAGAGTGCTGGGATTAAAGACATGGACTACCATGGTTAGACAAGGATCAATAAATCTGACCCCCTCAAAAAGGTGAGAACATGGCTCCTTGGCATGCTGCTCCACCCTCTGCCCCCAGGGACACCACATCTCTCAACTTTTAACATTGAAAGGAATTTCTGCACGTGTTCTAACAGCATGGAGGGCACACAAAGGTCCACACATTCAAGGTCCTCTTTTTCTGGAGCAAGATACAAGTCCAGTGATTAATCATTGATCAAACCACCAATGCCTAAAAGAGAGGTAGTTTGACTCATATGCTCATAAAAAGAACTTGGTTTTTCCAAAAGCTGGTAATTGAAAGCTCAGATCAGTAATAGGTGCCTGGCATCCTCTTCCCTTGGTGCTTAATAGCTAAGGGTGAGCATTTGACTCTCTACCAAGGCATAATTTTCATTGGAACAAAGAATAACCTGGGATTTACAAAGCTGGAGGTATTTTTTGTGCTTAATAAAGTACTGTGTTTAACCCTTAAAATTATTTCAATTCATCAAGTGCATTTGTTCAACTAGTGAAACTCTTCTTAAAATGGTTTACTGGATGGGAACTGGTAGTTTATACTGTTACATGTTTGTTTATTTTGTTTTAATAGCTCTTTGAGAGCTCGGTGGTGGTGGCACATGCCATTAATCCCAGCACTCGGGATGCAGAGGCAAGTGAATCTCTGGGAATTTGAGGCCAGCCTGGTCTACAAAGTGAATTCCAGGACAGCCATAGCTGCACAGAGAAACCCTGTCTTGAAAAAGACAAAAAAGTTCTTTGCAATTAATTATTAGCCTGAAGCCAAAGTTTTATGTGTCCCATATTATAAAAGTAATTCTGCTTCCATCTTACTTCCTATTTCATTGGAAATGGAAGGTTGGATAATAATTTCCAGATTCCTAATAAGAAAAAAAAAATGTATGAAAGGCTTTAGGGAAAGAAATTAATTGTTATGACCAAGGGTCATCTGTGAAGGGACCCATATCCGCACAGGACACACCAAGATCAAGCTCTCAGCACAAATGATATTTATTTGTCCCAGAGGGCAGAGAGCAGAGAATAAAGGACAAAGACAGGAGATAGAGGACAAGGGAGAAGAAGAAAAAGAACAAGGGAGAATCAGGAGGGGGAGAAACATTTGTCAAGGGTGGGGGATGACAAAGGACTGCCTGTGGATAGAGAGGAGACAGACATGGTCCATAGGCAAATGACAGTTTATAAATGTAAAAGGGGAAACCTAATGTTAGAATGGACTGCTTAATTTTGATTGGACATGTTAATGAGGGCAGCCACAAGCTTTTGATTGCTGGACTAGAATACTTTGTTAGAGGGACCTTGGTAGTGAGCCTCTGGAAGAGGAAGTGGCCAAATAAGGGATAGACTTTGGTGGCTAGCTCTAGGAATGGAATCTAATGATTTTTAGGAAGGCAGAGGGAATAGGGGAGAAGGCCAAGGCCTGCCACAGCCATGTTTGCCATGCTCAGACTGGCTAGAGTCCCTTCAGACTGTATTCAGCTGCATCTTCAGTTGACCCTCAAGATCTTCAGTGTGTTCAGAGTCCTGCAAAATGTTGGAAAGGACAGCCAATGAGTCAGATCCACAGGATCAGACTTTCTTGCCTCAGCATCATCTATTCAGCAATGAATGTACAACATTAAAGGAATATATAGTTGGAGCCAGCATGATGGTGAACACCTTTAATCCCAGCACTCCAGAAGTAGAGTTAGATAGATCTCTTTGAGTTTGAGGCCAGCCTGGTGTGTTCCAGGACAGCCATGGCTACAGAGACCCTATCTGAAAAAGAATGGGGAGGTGCTATTAGTTGGATAAATTCTGCCACACCTGCAATAGGATGATGCACAGGAATTAAATCCTAATATAGCTGTCCTTCCTCACATGGTGTGGTGGCATGGCTCCTTTCTGTAGCAGCAGTTACATTGTAAATCTGGTTTGTAAATTAGTTGGTGCAGCACATATGTGAGACCTTAATGATGGTCCAGTATAAGAGTTCACTTTTATTTGATAACTGGCAAGCTTCATGCTTGTGAATTGAGAAATATTACCCAGGAGAATAAACAACCATGCTGAAATATTTAATTTGCCTTTATACATTAACTTTCTTGATTTTCTCAATGTTTGGGTTTGTGTGCCTTATTGAAAAGCCCTCAGGAGGAGGCATGCAGTAATGTGGTCCCATCACTTGACAGCTTTGGACAGGCAACTGAGATTTAGTTTTCTCATCTGGAAAAAGAAAAAGATTTCTGAGATATTTAGATGAATGCTCATGAAGGAACCTAGCTCTCAGAATTACTAACAAATTGGTTAATACAGAATTAAATCCTGCTGATTGTCAAGAACAGAATGGCGGTTGCCAGAGGCGAGGGAGAGTGGATGTGGTGGTGATGGGAAAAGGTTGGTCAGCATGTGCCATGTTACAGTTTGGTGGGAGAAAGAAATTCTGCTGTGCCATTGCATAATAGGATGATCACAGATACTGATACCATAGTGGGTACTTCGAAAGAGCTAGAAGGAAATAGGTAAATGTTGTTCCCATAAAAACTTGGTGAATGTCTGAGGAGACAGGTACATTTACAGGGATTTGAACAATATACAGTGTATTCATATATTGAAACACCACATGTTATGCTACAAATGTTGGGGAATCTTTTCCAAGGGAGTTGACAAATGTCTATTCACCCCAGATAGTTTACACCCCAGTGTAAACTATGCAGGCTGCATATAGGAGATCATCTTTATTTTACTGCAAGTTGTACAACCTGCCAACCCATTGTGTGTTGTTGACGACTGGTGGACAGCAGTCTGTTCCTCTGTGTGACATCTCAGGGGAACTTGTCCTTATCAAGCCTTGTGTTTTACGAGTTTGGGTTTCTTATCCACAAACCAGGCAGCAGATGGTAACA